ATCTCTTTTAATGGCTCAGCCGTTGCTAACGCTTCCTTTGAAACCAGTTTCTTCATCAATGATACATCTCTTATTTGGGTGTTCGCAAGACCTTCCATAATATTAATTCCCAAAATCGACATTTCTTTTGTCATTTCACACCACGCAAATAAGATACCACGATCATATAAAACAATATAACCATTCTATAATAACCTACAAACAGTGGGTGAATATTGGTGATGCCAAATGAGTAAACGAAGTATTTCTTATATTCTTCATCAATTAACATTTCATCATTAAATTCATGGAATTCCTGAAACTTTTCATCATTCTTTATTGCATCAACCAACTCTGACAAGCTTGGCAATTTCGGCATTGCTTCTTTATTTTCATTTTAAATGAAATCGTTCGAGACTTTATAGGGAGATCATGTCTCTGGAATAAAAGTCCAAGCAATCATCTCCACGCAAATCCCGAACTCCCAAAATATTTCTAGAGTTGGAATCACATTCCCATCTTGGTCCCGAGTAGATATGGATCGGTCCGGTCCGGTCCGGTCCATAAAGAACGGTCTTTCATCTTTCTTTGGACCGGACCGGTCTTGTACCATTCGGTCCCGGTCCGGTCCAATATTTGTTTTCTTCTCGAACCAGACCGATTTATAAGACTGGTTCAAGGATCGGTTTAGAACATACTAGACTAGAAAAAATATAAATATAAAATGTTCAATTTAATATAATAATGTATATATTAATAAATAAAAAAGTATAATAAAATAATTGCATACGAAAGTATTATTGCGCCTACTTAATCCATTTTCGAAATTTTTGTTTCTGATATTATCGTTACAGTAAAATATTAGGACAGGTCCAAGGACTGACTATAGAAATGAAAATCGGGTCGATCCAACCCTAATTTGTAATATTTTATAAATAAAACAATTTTATTTAGTATTTTATAAAATTAACCTTAATTTAAAATAAATACGTTATAAATAATAAAGGACCAGTCCAGACCGGTCCTCAGAATATAGACTGTGGACTTCAAGGACCGGTCCCATTAACCGGTATAAGACGGTCTTACCAGGACCGATCCATCCCTAGTCCTGAGAAAGAATATATTGGTCATTCTCTTGTCAGATTGCGGCCAATCAATTCTTTTGATTCCTGTTGCAAGCTGTAATTGATGCACCAAACGCAATGTTAATAATCTTTTCCTGACTTGATTTTCAGGAGACATTGATTGTTCTTTGTTGCCTCCAATAATTGAATTCCATTATTTTTATCCATTGAGCAATTTGATTGAAATGCTGAAAAAGAAACTTTACTTGACTCAGATAAGTGAATTTTATTGTCCCTTTCTACTTGAGACATTTCTTTAGGAGAAAATAGTATTTCTTTTTCTTCTTGATATTTTCTTCATGAGGGGAAAGTTGATCGTGTAAAGGTAACAGAGAACAATCCATGGGGAGGTTGATTTTGCTCTATTCTCTTTCATAATTATTAGTTTTAGACAATTAGTACAGTTGATAAATCGTTTGTTTCTCCTAATGTGCATTAAAGGGCAAACATCAATATTATACCATGTATGAATAAAACTAAATATTGAGACATAACAGTATGGCAGAAGATATCGCTTGTAAGCTTACTTTTCCTTGTAACTTGTATTCTCCATGAAATCTCAAATCTATATGAATAATACTTAAAAGAACAAACTGTCATAATGGATAATACTTTTACTTTCAATAATCTTGATTTTAAGGAAGTAATGGACACTAAACAAGATAGGTAATTTTAGCTATTTGTTACGTAAAAAAGAAAAAGAAAATTTCTTCTATAATACTTGATTAAATAAAATTTTTTATTTAGGTATCAATATTAACTTTGGTAATGCATCGCGAAAATTTATATTTGCAAGAAAAAAAATGTTTACCTTGAAAAAAATTTTACTTATATCAAAAAATCCAATAGCCAATAAAAATCATTTAAAGATCAAATCAAATAAACAGATCAACAGATTAAAAAATTGTTCCTTAAGAATATGACAGCTTGCAAATAAATCAGGTTCAGATTTTTAATTCGATATTAATAGGCATTTATCCAACTTTTAAAATATAACTAAAAGAAATTAAAAAAAAGGATGCGATTCTTAGAATAATTATTGAGCAATATTCCAATTCTATAAAATAGAAGTATAAGAAATAAATCAATATTAACCTTGGTAAAGTATTGCATTAATTTATGTTGTTTGCATAAAAAATTGTTTGTTTGCAAGCTCTAAAGCCGCTTTTCTAAAAAAATTTAACTTTATTTACATATTATACCATTTTATTATAGTTTGTTATGTCAAATCAATAACTAATAAGCAAAGAAAGTTGAAAGACCGGTCTTTTTAGACCAGAACGGACCGGACCGATCCATATCTACTCGGGACCAAGATGGGAATGTGATTCCAACTCTAGAAATATTTTGGGAGTTCAGGATTTGCGCGGAGATGATTGCTTGGACCTTTTTATGCCAGAGACATGATCTCCCTATGAAGTCTCGAACGATTTCATTTAAAATGAAAATAAAGAAGCAATACCGAAATTGCCAAGCTTGTCAGAGTTGGTTGATGCAATAAAGTATGATGAAAAGTTTCAGGAATTCCATGAATCTAATGATGAAATGTTAATTGATGAAGAATATAAGAAATAATATTCACCCACTGTTTGTAGGTTATTATAGAATGGTTATTTTGTTTTTATATGATCGTGCTATCTTATTATTTGCGTGATGTGAAATGACAAAAGAAATGTTGATTTGGGGAATTAATATTATGGAAGGTCATGCGAATACGCAAATAAGAGATGTATCATTGATGAAGAAACTGGTTTCAAAGGAAGCGTTAGCAACGGCTGAGCCATTAAAAGAGAT